GACAATGAATATGAAATTTGGCATATGGATATGAAATTGCCGTAGACACAACTTTTTCAAGTAACTTTTTGTTAAATTCGTTCTAGAAATGCACTTTTTCAATTTTTTTCAAAAAAAAAAGTTGAATTTGACAAACACTGAACGTCAGTGGGTCGCATCATTTTAAGTTAAATTTAATAAAGCACAAACAAGTGCCGAAGTTAAACTTCATTGAAACTTTTCGAAAAAAAAGTTTCCCATATGGTGCGCACTGTATAAAAAAATGTATAGATGGTTATGAAAGATTATGTGCAAGTTACCTCAAAAAGATCATCTGAGAGTATAAACTATTACTCTTTTAGGTAGCTTACAACACATTTTTATTCTATTTTGTATAATCGACTAATTGATTTGGTTAGTTCTTGGGATAGGAACATTCAATCAGCAAACAAATTTCTGACATTCAATGATATCAATGCCACATGGTTTTGTAGAGGTTTGGGAGATTTCTCAAAACAAATTCTGGTAGGCTTCACTACTTTTTCAATTAATAAAACTTCTTAATTAGAATAATCTGTATGTTCAAATAGATATCTTACTTGAAGTGAATGCTTCTTCTAAGGAACGAGAGTCTATCATGGAAAATGGGTCCCATATTTTTTTGTCTTCACATTCTCTTTGGTAAAACCAGTGATGGCAGACGGGTTTGTATACTTGGCTGACTGAAGGCTAAAAATGAAAGGATTAGTAGAATATTCTTCTGATATAAAAAAGATATACAAAATAAAATTAAAGGCTACCAGCTGTTTTTCATGAGAGAGGAAAAGAGGATATGTATTGAATTTTTTTAGACATAGACACCTGACAAACAGTTTCTGTACTTTCATGAAAAAAGTCAGCAATGCAGTAGTATGGTTTCTCACAGAATTAAGATTTCTATGCTTTTGTGAGCTTTTAATTTTCCTTATCTCCAATATTGTCTGCCTGCTGAGTACTATAATTCGATTGGATAGCTTTAAAGCTGCTGATGTGTTTTCTTATCAGGAATGCAGTTTCCAATATGAATAATGCTACTACTGTCAGGATTTTATACTTGATAAATAATGGTCGACAAGAATCTCGATTTATTGCTTTACACATGTACCGTATTGCCTATTTTTGCTTGATTAAAATGGTCCGCATGTGGTTGTTACTGACCCCAGAAGTCAATGCCACAACACGAGAGATATTCGATTAGTGAATGACAAACCAATCAATCAATCAATCAAAAATATACTTTATTGTCAGAGAAAAAAATTCTTATTAACAAAGCTTTAATAAATAAAATAAAAACAGTCAATTCACAGTAACAATGGAAGAATATAGATTCTAACGCTACATGTAGACAGGACATAAGATTCTACAATATTAAGAATTGATTTACATGTATAGATAAAATAAATAAATCAGTTGTTTCGACCTCAAGGGTTCAGGTACTCAAAATCTGTCTTCAAGATATTCTTGCAAGCTATAATATGCTTTCGTAAGTAAAAGTTCCGTCACACGTTTTTGACTCTATTATACTTTTCATTTCAAATGGTAGATGATTGAATATCTTCCGACTCTCTTCTGAATACCTTCAGGCTCATTGTCAACCAGAACAAAACGGTTTACATGCAATTCGCGAATTCATCGAGAAGTCAACATAATCTCAATCTCAGTTTCCAAAATAAACCTTTAGAACTGACCAGCTCGACAAAATTCTTAGGAACTATGGTTGAAATTCATATTTTTTCTATTTATATTTAAATAATGTATTTGTACCACATCTTATTTGGACTTCCCATCTACACATTATGTAGCAAAAAGGATCAATAAATCTATCTATCTATCTATCTATTATGGAATTTTTTGTTAATGTTGAATTTGGCTTTGGCAGAGGTATATTGGCATTTTGCCAATTTGTGTTTGTAGAACAAACACTGATTGTATCAACTGCTTGCTACATAAACCCCAGAAACCAATACCATACCTCAGATGAGACTCGACTAATGAAAAGTAAGATGTTTTTCCTGCTGTTATTCCCAACTCCTTGGTGATGACCCTGATAGCTTAGCAGCCAGATGCAAGTTTTTTGTTGAGATGTTTTACGTGTTCATCAAACTTCAGAGTATTATCAATCCATAATCCCAAGAATTTGGTGCACGTCTTATTTTCGATGACATGCTTCTGGAGGTTTAGGTTTCCCGAAACAAATTTAAACGAAATTAAGTTACTTTTATTCGCATTGAAACATAAAGAATTGGAATCACCAAGATTTGACTTTCTCTAAGTCGGTTTCAATTATATTTCTCAGAGAGTCTGTATTATTTCCATGCAACAGTAAAGTTGTATTGTCTGCAAACATTGTTAACTTTCCTTGTATGTCGATATTAGATAGGTCATTCACATAGATAAGAAACGAAATGGGACAGAGCACTGAACCTTGGGGGACTCCACAGGTGATTTTCGAAAGACTGGAATCAAAGGCCTTAGAAAAGTCGCAAAATACTGCCGCTGACACTTCACCTTTATGTAGCCCTACATATATCTCTTATAGGAAGACAAAGATAACATCATTTGTACTTTTGGATCTTTGAAAACCAACCTGTGAGCTACTCTGTATATTTTGCGTCTCCAGAAATTTTAGCAACCTTTTATTTACAAGCTTCTCTATCACTTTTGACAAAGTAGATATTAGTGAAATAGGACGAAAATTGGATGGCTCATTCAGTTCACCACCCTTGTGAATTGGAATCACTATAGCAGTTTTCAGTACATCCGGAAATACACCAATTGAAAATGATACATCTTTGCGATGGACAGTCCTAATTTATTGGATATGACACCAACTGCCTAACATCCAGATGCTAGTTTGCTTTTAAGAGCCTCAATGTGATTATCGAAATTCAGTCTGCTATCAATGTCTAACCTCAGCAATTTTGTATGAAGTGTGTTTCTAATAACGTTTTCATCATTATGAATTGATTAATTTAAGGACCCTTAATCCGAACTATGCCAAATTATGGTGGTGTCATCGGCATACAGCGTAAAAGGTCCAGATATTTTGACATTTGGCACAAAAACCAAGAGCAGGCCCAGTATTGAGCCTTGAGGTACCCAGTCTTCATGGATGACTTTTCAGAGAGTATTGTTGTTTTTACTATATGGCCTTTACCTGATAGGTAGGATAGAGTTAAACTATTCAGGGTAACTAGTCTAATTCCGTAGTGCTGAAGTTTCTGTAACAGTATTTCATGATTCACACAGTCTAACGCTTTTGATAAATCACGAAAAACTGCCGCTATCATCTCATCATTATTCAACTCAGTGTATATTTTTTTTAGAAACAAGAAAATGAAAGCCATTAGTCTTTAATTGGCTAGGTCATCCTAAGTACCTCCTCTGTGAAGTGGAATTAAACTTGATGTTTTTAGAAAATCGGGAAACAGGCCTTTGCCGAAAGATATATTAATTAGAATGGTCATGATTTCTAGTGCGTAGTCATTACCACATACATGCATATTATATGTTGTTTTTGTAAACCCATGGAGACATGGATAAATATGATCAATGTCAATGCTGACCTATGCTGAATCGACATCCGGCAATACGCAGTCCCTAAACAACGACACAAAGAACCTTTATTTTCATTATTCTATTTTCAGACTATGTAATCCTTTATTTTCCTATAAATACGTCCTGGGTGGCGATATGAGTTAGTTATATTTACAGTTACATTAAAGTTGTATCAGTTGTATTTACAGTCAGTTTCTGTTCAATTGTAACTCAGTACTGAGAATTCAGTACTATATGTATGACAATTTTCTTTGAGTATTGGTAAGATACAGGTAGATAGGTAAGTAAATGAACTTATAATTTTATTTCAAAAATATGCGATAATTTTTCACTACAGTGTATATAGTTAAAACCTGGACATACTTACGTTCACAACATTCTCATCGTTAGCTGCTTGACTGGGAACGGCTGCCGATATACTGTTGATTTCGGAATTCTGCATCACTTCGCTTGCTGGGAGAGCATCCATCACTGGACCGAGCAAGCCTTTCGGTGTCCCACTAGTTAGTGGCGGAGGATGTGTGAAATTCAAAGGATAAGTGGGCACAGTAGGTAGAGGTTGAGGAATGGGATGGAGCGAGTGAGCACTGGGAGGTGGAGGTGATATAGGTTTGAACTGGTTCGGAAGAGGATGAGCGAATGGCTCGATACTTGATGAAGATGATATTGAGTTGGCTGGTGAAACTGAAGAGTTCTGCGGGATGAAGTAGTTAGACAAGGGCGCTGGATATTCTAGGGTTGAAGGGGGTAAAGGAGGAATGTTTGGGGTGGGTAATGGTGGGATATTTGAAGGGGGTGGCAAATTTTGTGGTGGTATGTTCTGACTAGGTGGTTGGCTCTTATTAGAAAAACCAGGGATTGGCGCATACGTAGGCCGTTTTAAGCCTGATCGTCGAAAGGCATTTACTGGACCTGAAACTACAGAAGAGAATGTTTAAAATAGCTTGCTTCTAAATTTTGATTTACAAAATCAAGAATGTTTCTGATGCTCTTGGAACAAGTTTTGCTTGATCTTTTGGATTGACCAATGTACTTTGTGTCAAAGTTTAATCTCCAAACTCTAGACTTCCCAGGTTTCGAAAAGCGTAAGGCATTTCTTTATTGAACTATTCAAAAATTATGTCATATAAAAAGTGATTCATATAATTACTTATTATAATTATGTGGTCCAAATTGGGATTTTTATTAACCAGTTATCTTTTTATTGCTCTATGCTTAAGATACAATGAATATATTGAACAATCCACATCTCCAATGAATGCGACACATTTTCAAAGGTCTTCAATTGCGGAATATATGTTTAATTGCAGAGATGAGATCGATTCAAAGATTGGTTCAAATATAGTTCAGATAAGCACGGGGCTAAAAGTAAACAGGTGAAACAGTTGAATAATTTCAAGTGGCAATTGAAATATAGAGCTGTTTCATTTTGAGATAAAATAAATTGTGCCAAGGCGACATATAATGCTTTGGAGGACCAGCAAGTTATCATCGATAAGGAGTTAGTGGACAAAAGTCATTCCTTAATGACGGACATCAGATGTTTGGACTTGAGAATGAGATTGAGGACTGGCGAATTCGCAGGTCGGGTTTCAATCGCGCCGTTGATGGTGATATAGTGGTTGTAGAACTGTTTGCAGAGCAAGTTTGGATATCACCCAGTGGAATAGTTCTTGAAGATGAGGGAGTGGCAGAAGAAAATATCGATGAGGTGGAAATAAAAGAACAAGAATTAAAGAAATCCACCCACAAAAAGAAGGGGGAGATAAAACCCACTGGTAGAGTTGTTGGTATAATCAGGAGGAAATGGAGACAATACTGTGGTATACTACAAGGTGGTATGGATGGTGTTTTCCAATTATTTATACCTGCTGATAAAAGTATTCCAAAAAGAAGAATAGAAAAAAGGCAGGCCGAATTTCTAAGTTTCCAAAAACTTATAGTAGCTATCGATTCGTCGCCAAGACATTCTAGATATCCCTATGGGCACTTTGTAAGAGCTCTGGGTAAAACTGGTGACCAAAATACTGAAAATGAAGTTTTCAGAAGAGGTCCTCAGCTGTCTCCCAAAATTACCTTGGATCATTACAGAAGCGGATGAGAAAGACGTGTGGACCTCAGACATATTGACATTTATTCAGTTGATCCTCCAGGATGTACAGATATTGATGATGCATTGCATTGTCGTCCTATAACAGACAATAAATTGGAAGTTGGGGTCCATATTGCTGACGTAATCACATTTCATTCGGCCTGGCACTGCTCTTGATATTGAAGCTGCTTCTCGAGCTACAACTGTATATTTAGTGAATAAAAGAATCGATATGGTGCCAGAACTTTCGAGTTACAATTTGTGTTCTCTCAGGGGTGGAGAGGAGCGTTTCGCATTTTCTTGTATTTGGGAGATGGGCATGAAGGCCAATATTTTGAATACCAGGTTTCACAAAAGTATAATTAGATCCAAGGCGGCCATGACATACGAAGAGGGTCAAATCATTATTGACGACAAAAGCAAGACAGACAGTATAGCAGAATCTTTAAGATATCTCAATATGCTGGCCAAAATACTGAAAAAAATGCGGTTAGAAAAAGGGGCATTGGTTTTGGCATCTCCAGAAGCCAAAATCCAAATGGACTCTGAAACCATGAAACCACTTGATGTGGAAGTAAAAAAATTGTTTGAAACCAATTCAACTCTAATTTTGATCCATTAGTGAGAGCTGGAAAACATCTTGGCTTCGACATACATACCAACTCTGGCAAAAATCTTGCCAAGTCCTTAGATGAAGCTGTTCGGACTGATAATCCGTATTTCAATACGATGATGCGAATTCTTGCAACACAATGCATGCTCCAAGCTGTCTATTTTGCCAGTGGCACCTTGCAGAAAGAGGAATACTTCCATTACGGTCTGGCTGTGCCTCTTTATACTCACTTCACCCATCAGGAGATATGCAGACAATATTGTACATAGGTTATTGGCAGTGACTTGCGGATCAGATTCTACTTATCCTGATTTGCTTGACAAACAAAAAACTAGTAATTTGTGCCAGAATTTGAATTATCAAAATCGAATGGCCCAGTATGCGGGAAGAGCTTCTGTTGCCTTAAATACTCATATTTTCTTGCAAGACGAAGAAGGTTATATCTTGTATGTAAGAAAAAATGCTCTTCAGATTTTAATACCAAAATATGGCTTGGAATGTACATATCTTTGAATACAATGAAGAGGATCAAACTCAAAAAGCAGGCAACATAATTCTTCACACATTTGACCCAGTGAAAGTGAGGTTGAGTCTAAATTGTGACAACGTCCAACATGAAAAGTTTGTTTTGATGCCTGTTTTTCCATTTATCGAAGGATTCAGTGTTCCACCACTTGATGAATTGGAGAATATGCAAACAGAAGACAATGAGAAGAAAAGAAAATCACGCACAGAAGGCAATAAAAAGAAGAGTAAGGGAAAGGTGTGATATTTTAAATTTGTGACTTTTTTGAATAAAATGATGTCAAAAAAAAATTAAACTGTTTGAAGTGTAATAGTTATTATCAAAGTAGGTATTATTAAAACACCCAGAGATGTAAAATTGCTGAAAGTGGTGGGACATAACAATATGTATAAGTATAACATACTGATCAGTACAGTATTATTAGAATACTGTTTTGTTTGTGCAAACTGTGTAAGTTGTATGATTGAATTGATGAAAAGTAATTCCAGAACTCTCGGTTGGGTTGCTGGTATCCCTTGTTTTTTATTTTGGTAACCTACCTAGAAATTTGTGATCTGTGAATTTCTACTGTACCAATCTGAGCCCTTCGACAAAAACTTTAGGGGGGGTTGAAATAATCTACTTCCACTCTATCAAAAAAACCTTCTTCCCACTCACCTGTAGTACTAGGAGTATTTGGTAAAGAAACTGATGGAGCACTTGCTGGAAACAGCGGTACTGGTACGGGATTACTATTCTCCGGACCAACAAAACTTTCAATTCCCGCTGGCGGAGGAACTTCAACTTCTTTATTGCTATTATTCGAGCCTCCTATATTCAAAATGCTCGAGAAAGAAGAAAAGACAGACGAAAAATGAGACGGCTGCTGAGAAGGATGGCTGAGATGTGGTTGAAGGACTGACAAGTCTGGAAGAGTCTGCGAACTGCTTAAGGGTGGCTGTTGAACAGACACTTCTGGTAGCTTCGAATCGAAGAAACTAGGAAGATTTTGTTGTTGCTGTCCTTGGAACGTATCGAAGGTGTTTGGTGGTTGTTGGTGCAGTGAGTCATAGAAATTTGCTGGCTGGTGCTGCTCCAGTTGACCAGGGTTTCTGAAACTTTGTACAGGCTGCTGAGGTGGGAATGTCGAAGTCTTTTTGTTTGGAATTATATCGCTGAGTATTTGTTCTGAAATAAAATAACAGATTTGCAGTCAAATATCTGTCTTATAGTTTGATTTATTTGGAAAAGTCGTCCACTTCCAACTGAATATTTCACCAAAGATATATTACGATGTGAACATCGAAATGTGGGCAAATATTTTCAATAATCAATTTGAAATATTGTCTAATATGGTTCCTAAATAATATGAAATATTATTAGGAAGGCCTTCTAATAAGCCTTCTTACAGGTCACTGCCATTTAAATTATCATATGCAAAGACTCGGACTGTCGGAATATCGATCTATTAAAATAATGAAAAGAGAAATGAAAATTTCTGTGTTTTTTACCACTTTTATTTGTAACTAATGTTACTAAACGATACGTAAATTCTGCACTATGCAAGGAAGGGTTGCAAACTCAATTATTTAGAATCCTTGGAAATCCACAAGCATAAACATTGCGGGTGCAACCTGTTAAATGATCAAATCGATTTAATTTACTCTCCGGTTTTTAAATTGGCACATCCGCATTGTGAACTGTAAATTCAGGTACTCAATCAAGTACCTGAATGTAATGAATCATTGTTAGTTTATTGTATTAGTTTGAGAATGTCCATATAGGACGAAACTGCAGTAACGTTAGTTACAAATAAAAGTGGTAAAAAACATAGAAATTTTCATTTCTCTGCTCATCATGATCTCCTACCACGTAGTAACGGCTACATCCATCAATGTATTAAAATAAGATATAAGAAACACTCAGCATACTTAAAATATGGAAGACCTGAAAAATCAGCAGTCGCCCATCATATTTTGCAACGTAACCATTCCATAGATTTGAGTTCATCAAGATTAGTTAGACAAGTTAACAACAACAATATCTATGATGCCTATGAGAGTGTAGAAATAAGTAATCATAATAATATTACGAATAACTATGGTGGACCAATACCCAATAGTAACACAAGTTAATAGAATATTAAATCAACATTTCGTTGTAATATTTATTTAGTGTTCTCTCCTTCAGGATATTAAAAAATATTGTTACGTTATGACGCAAGATAACGCTGAGTTGATTCATAAATTTTCATTGTGGTCAAACTACGCCCATGAAATCACTAAGATAAAGGTAATCATTTTGAGGTGTGCGAGTAAATATTGATTTTTTCTATTATGAAAGTGAAATTCAGACCGGTAAAAAACGTGAGTACATGGGGTTCAAGAAAATACGCGTTTTCATTACACCCATTGCAACAATCGTGCTCCTTGTTTTATTGTGTTTTGGCTTTCTACTTCTCCAAAGAAGAATGCAATTAATTTCAAAAAATAAACTCGTTACGAAGATGTGTAGATCATGCAAAGAAGTAACTTTCAGACACAAACTCAAAGAAAACATACTTTCCAAACAACTAATTTTATATGAAAATTGAATTAAACAAAAAAACCATTTTTCCTATTCAGTTTGTACTCCAAAAATTCGTTATGGAATTGAATCAGATATCATTCACAGGATTGCTACACATGATTCCTACATTTGTTTGTTTGAATATGGAGAAGCAGGCAGGCATTTTTATTTTCTTCTGCGAATACAGTTTTGTATGCTTTTCATCATAATATCTATTAAATGTTTCAAAATTTTACTGATCGTTGAAAAGTGAACTAGTTTTCTGAATGATTGAAAATCTTCAATTAACTGATATAAACTTAATTAATGTATTGATATTAATACGACCAAGGTTTCGGGTTTCACACCATTCCCAAGTATTCTATCACTACGGACCTAAGAGAAATATCGGAGTATATATATCCGAGACTAGGTACCTAATAAGATATATACCTACATTCATTAATATCAACTACACAAGCTTCAAACTGTGATTAATTGCGTTGTCATCTTTATAAATTCAAAAGTGGAGACCTACACAAATCTGTTTGTTCGTTAAGGGTTCTATATTTTGAGTTTTTAATTGATTTATTAATTACTATGGCTTCCAACAAATCCATTCTCCTTCCTTTACTACATGTATGTTAGATTTTGAGGTTTTCCTTACTTGTTTTGTGGTTTGTTTCTTGTAGATGTTCGTACATAGAAGATTTTTTGTCTCAACCGACGTGTTCACGGACTCTTACTTCGAAACTTCTGCCGGTCTGGCCTGTATATACTGCAGAGCATTCACTACATTCTATTCTATATATGCCAGATTTCTTCATTCTGTCACGTCTAGGTTTTGCATTAAATATGATTTTGCCTAAATTATTATTACTTATGAAAGATGTGATTATGTTGAATTTGGAAAAGTAATTTTGAATATTTACTGAAAGTTTACCAGAGTAATTAATGCTGCTATATTTGTATGTATGTATTAATAGCAATACATTAAGTAATTGGAAATTAGACAAAGTATTTTATTTCTATATCTATATCAGATACTTGAAGATGAATTTCCACAAAATAAATAAGTCATCAATATCATAAATCACATTGAAAATATTTTTTACCATGGATCAGCTGTCGTTCCTCTCCGAACGACAAGGACCAACTAGGTCTTACCTTTTAACGTGTGATTCTTAACACAGAAAAAATATATTGGGGAACTACAATAATCTCTATCATTTGTTGTTTTTGAGATATTCGCCAAAAACTAGAATTGTAGAATTTTGTTTTTTGGCTAAACCGCCTCCAGGCCCTCATTTGAAAGTCTGGAGGCCCTGGGACAACAAAAGACTGCATGCCCCTAATTTTTTTGCAATAAAAAATAACTAGTTGTTCAAAATCAATTACTCCAACTCTCTAACATATACATATATAGGTTAGGTTAGGTCAAAAGTGAGTGGGTCTATTCGACCCTTCACCGCAACCCGCAAGGGTTTATTGTGGCCCACACACTCGGCCAAATAAACCCAGCTACAAGTGATTTCGTCGTCGAATGATTTTAAAAAGTTTGAGCTCAAAGAAGCGAGAAGTTGTAAGAATGATCTGCGGGCCCCTCTCCTGCGGAGGCCCCAGGGCAGTAGCCCCGCCAGCCCGCCCCCAAATCCGGCCCTGACCGCCTCCATTTCGAAGGATATCAAAGAATCAGAGGACATTTCAATACTGTTCCATATTTGTTATAATTTGATATAAATCAATTAGTAATACGGCGTTTCGTTTATTAGATTTCATCATCAACTTAATTTTTTAAACGGGGATCTCTAGTTTTTTTAAAGGAAATTTTACTGATTGTTCAGTTGTTTGTCTCTTTGGGGAAATATATAATTATAATTAAACGAAATCTATGATACAATGAAATGAAAAAAGCAAGAGAAATTTAGGAAAAATGTGTCTCTAAAATATTTTTCGAAGGCATTATATATATTTACGGGTGCAAAAAAATACTGTGTGGCATAAAAGCTGAAAGCCATGTTTCAAAATGAACTCTCCAACAAATGTAGTGATTAATAATGATTATTGTTCGAATCATTTATTTACTGATAACTCCGATTGCGGTTTCTCGAAGTATACGACCTACATTCTAACCCTTCCATGAATATTTATCAAATCAGTTGGAAAATCGATGATAAAAACTTGTCCTAATACCCCTGATTCTGTCTGCGAAATGTTGAACAATATCCTGCCTAACCCACAAATTTGTCATCTTCAAATACAAAAGATAAAACATTTTTCAGTTTTTTTCAGTCGCGTTTGAATCGGTGAAAAATGTTCTGGTGGATTTGTTTTACGTTAACATTAGAAAGTGCGCTTTCTGTAGGAAATTTTTTCCCTAGCGACAGTGTCGAACTTATTTATGATAATGATTTTGTATTTACGAAAAACAGCGAGAGGATCGAAAATAATCCGTTTGGAAACAAATCCGAACCGGTGAAAACATTTTTGAAACACTACAACTCATTGAGACCTTTGGCGATTTTAGTTGACGATACCCATGAAAGTCATACTGCGGCAAGGAATTTCCTGAAAAACGTGCTTGATGCAGCACCTAATGCAAAGCAAATAACATATTTCATATCTAAATTCAATTCAACGGGTGAGTTTGTTTTTGGTACTTTCAGTTGTTTAGTGTCCTTTCTCCAAATTCTTATAAAGATTTTCAAATTTAACTTGATTTTAGAAGCATAGTTTTTTGTAGGATCGTTTATGGAAAGCTGAAATGTTGATTCAGAAACTCTAGAAAGCCATTACAACTTTAATAAAATGACTTTTAGGAAAATTTTCCAAACATTCTGACATTTGTCGTAGTATTCACGTATCTGGCAACTACTGACAATTTTGAAACCCTTCAGCGTACAAAAATCAAAAACTAACATTCAGTGGACCCAACACCAAACCGTTATTTTAACACCTAGACATGTGTTTCGATCACCAAGTGATCATCTTATCATTAGCAATCTTTATACTAATTCCTCTATTTTTGATTTCGTCATAACCTGTTTTATTATTCAGTAAGAGAAATTCCGTCTTTTCACTATTCAGTTTGAGAGTGTTGAGATTACACCATCGACTAACTCTACAGAGCTCACTATTTATGAGTATCTACCAGCTCATCTGCAAACAAACTAATTTTCCACTCAGAGATCTCGGAAACAAGGTCATTTATATACAGAAGGAAGAGTAAGGGCCCAAGTGTACTACCCTGTGGCATGTGGGTGGGTTATAGAATGATTCTATTCATGAATATTTGTCATCAGTTGTTAAAAATTCCTTTTAGTGCATAACTCGTTTCTGTGAATTCTAGGCGCCTCACCTTTCGTTCAGATAATTGGACAAGATGCGGGAAAAATTGACGAAGCACTTACTTCTAAGACAGTCAACGAGTTTTCTTACCTCGGACCTACACAATCTAATGGAACTCTTGCATTTTTAACAATTCTCAGAGCAGCTGCTACACTACCACAAGAATCAGGCATTCTCTTATTCTTGGACAGGAAAATAGGCGACGAAGACTTAGCAACTCATACGGGAATTGTCCGGAAAAAAAATATTAAGGTACACATTTTTCAAGTGGATCAGTTATCAAGCAGTTCACTCATCCCTGAGATCTTTTTACCTAAATAAGCATACCTACTCATTAAATTATTATAGCAATATCAATCGTATATACATAAATAAATATATTGTAAATCGTGCCTGAAAGAAAATAACGCAGGGCCGCTACTGGTAGCCATAAACCAATGCTGACGTAGCTAAGAACGCGCAAATGTACGATGATTCCCCGCCACTCTAGAAGCAGCGAGAATAATGCTACCGATTTCGGCGAAATTTTCTAGCGCTTTCGATCACGATATATAAACGCTAGCCTCGAGCATATCGAGATAGTCAAGTGGCAGTTACAGTGCGGTACGCGAAGTGGTCTAGTAAGGCGATATACTTTCAAATACTAGTTGAAGTTTTTTTGAAGTGTTTGTTGTATTTAAAGCGAAATAAAGTTAAGTTTGACTATTTATTCAGTATAGTCAATTATTGTTCAACCCACGGGGTTTATTAATTTTCACAAGTATTTTTGATTAAATACCCAAACGCACGCCACTGCAGGTGTAAAACGACCCGAACGCCCACAAAATCTTTTGTTAGTGGCCTGTTTGCGTCAAAATAGGGCGGACCCGGTAAAGTATAATGACCCCGTCTATATCAGCTGTGGCAAATCATATCGAAATCACAAATTTTTGTTCGAGCACTCTATGGGGGTTTTGCATTCATAAAAAGTTTTAATTACTTTTTACTATAATAAATGTTTTAAATATCTTTTTGCAGGTATACGTGATATGGGGCGGTCCATATCCTACGAAATCTAACGAAGAAAAATTACTAAACGAACTCTGCAGCTATTCAGGTGGTTTGTTTTTCACAAATGTCAGTAACGACCTATCTAGTTACAACTATCGTTATTTTATAGAGAAAGAGAATTCCAATNTGTGATTTATTTGATTTAAAATATTTATTTTTTCACCTCATTTTGACTCAATATCAAAAAAGCACCCTAATTTTCAATCGAAAATTCTCGCGTCAAAATATCAGATTTTTTCAAAAAGTCGGTGTGCTTTTTGTTCGTTGGAATCTCTACTTTCTGATGGTGTAAAAAAATATACATTAATACAGTAAATGTTCTCATAAAATGCAAAAAAACTCGAATAATACTATACATTACATGATCCATCTATCTACTACTATTATTAAAAATGTTGTTTAGCAAAAACTGAATGATGAAAAATGGGACTGAAACAACAATAAACCCTTGAGACTGCCAATACATGTTTTGTTTTTTTCAGTCCGTAATCCTATCAAGAACCAACCTCAGCGGCCAATCCGAATTCACCTTTCCAATCGATTCAGAGGTAACAGGTATCCATTTGACGTTTTCCCAAGTCGTCACCAGCGGCACTTTGTCACCACCAAACGGTAAAAAAAAACACAAAAATAACCCACCAGGCATCAATAACCAATTACACTAATCGTTCATTCCAGGCCTTGACATAAATATCTTGAGGAATAATGAAATCGCGAAATACGGAAGTGGGTCATTCGGGATTACGGAATCGGGGCAGCGTCAAGTTTATTTGGATACGACGGCTCCACAGCAAAGCGTCGGATTTTGGCGTCTAAGGCTAGACAGTGCGCTTGCTCTCTATAATGTCACCATTTTTGTTTACACGAAGCTGACAGCGCAAGCTTATTTCATCAAGAAAAATGCAGGTGAGAGATCTAGAAAAGATTGACGAATATTTTGAAATTGTTCGTGGTCCGAGTGTATAGTTAGTTTTCCAAAAGAATTGAGAAAAAAAAATATTTCTCCGCAAAGCAATGAATGTATTTATTATTGACTTTTCTGGAAAAACTAAAGTATAAATTATAATGAAGAGCTTTATACAGGCAAACTTCTAGTTCACAAAAATGAGCTATGTATCAGTAACTTGAAATATTTGATAATTTTGGATTTCAAAACAGGGGGCTAAGACTTATACAGATACAAATATTTTCATTTTGGAAGTTGAAATCTTCAGAATTGTAAAAATCATAAATAACTTCCCACTGATTCCGNTTTCGGATATCTTTAATATTTTCCGAGATATTTGCAAGAAACCAAAACCCCCCTTTTTTTACTAAATTATTTATAACAAGGGTTGTCGTTCGTAGGAGGGTGACAGCTGGTTAACATAAAAAATAGATTGAAACAGAAGAAAGAATGGAAACTGAAAGTTCTATTTGATTTTTTCAATTCTGAAGACGGAGACAGACTGGCTTTCAAAACGTTGAGATAGGTACTCATACAAATCTCAGCTCTTTTTTTTTTAAGTAAAATTTCAGGTAGGCTACAACTGTCGATATTGAAAAAAATGTGTGTACATATACGTATTTTCTCGTGTTGATTAAGAATCCGTAAGAACTTTGAATTCACTCATTAAAAATATAATTTCCTTCACGAAAACGGCCTTTGTTCAAGCATTCATTAACTTTTCTAATACCTGACGAAAAATGCCATGAAAACTAGTTCAAAGTTCAATTTTTCACATACTTTTATTGGGGGGATTTCTTCCAATTGGCAATTCAACAAAATTTGCGAATTTTAATTGTTTCACCGACAACTGAGGTTAGCTTCAAATTGTATAATATCCATATGGGTTAATCCCGCAGTCATAAAGTTACATGTATGGACCGAGAAGGAAAATAAGTTACGCAAGCATATTTGTTTTGGAGCACTAATTATTTATTTACCACAATCAGTTAAAAGTGATGAATTTATATAGAATGTTCGCTATATTCGTAGATATGAGTCAAGATGTTTTTTGCTAGCTTTCTAATGATGAATGTTTGAGAAATTGAAAAGACTGATTCCAAACTGTGTAGGTTGCACAATACGACTTGCAATTCAACTGTTTGATACGTAAAAAACAACAATATTCTATGAAATTCCTTGTTCTCTTGTCCCTCTTACTCACTTCAGACTAAATTCGATTAATTTTCAATACAAATCATTGTTTTCATTGTAATCGGAATAGAATTAATTCAGTCGGACTTGAAGCACTGATAGTTTTATAATAGTTTTTGATTATACTCACTTGCAGTATATTAGAGAATATGCACATAATTCTGCACTGCTAGCACTGCTAGAAACTCACATAAAACAAATTACCTATATTTGAACATTGACTCTTCGATAACTGGTATTACAACATTATAATTACGATCTGTTGCCTGATTTGTTTCATGATCCAGTAAAAAAAGACAAAAAAGGTTGTAATCTCGAAAAAAATTCGCATGAGATGAAATTGGTACAGCTCCTTCGAGAAAACTTGTAGACCTCTACCGAAAATGTTTCTATGGGAGTCGCCATTCCAAAGATAATGCGCCAAAACTTGGAAAAGTCTCAGTATGCATATTATTTCTACATCACCTTTTTAAAGTCGCTTTCCACTTAGCATCCTCCAATATACACACATCGGAAAAGTCTAGGGATATTTTTAAAAATGGCAATAATTTTTTTTTAGATCGCTTTAGGGAAAAAAAGTTGACGGGTGATTATTAAACGAATGTAACTTACAACAAAATTTATTAAATGGTCAAAAATACTGAGTGCGCATATAAGCAAAACTAAAAAAAAATATNTATCTTATATGTGCATCCACAAAGGCAAAGTACGCAGATCTTGCAAAGGTTCTACCCAGTTCTCTTGAAACTGAGTTGATCACAAAACAGCCAGATGCGAGTTTTTTATTTGGCTCAAAATGATCATCGAATCTAAGTTTATTATCAATGTGAAGTCGAATTTAGAGGACAAGTTACCTCTAAAATGTTGTTATTCAAACTAAGCTGTGGGAGTTCACATTTGATAGTGAGGATATGGGTTCTATTGAAGTTTAAAGAAAGCTTGTTTTAGTCGCACCAGCTCTTCATCTTTTTGATATATTCAGTTGCATCTTGAGCTAGTTTTGTAGGATATTTTTCCTGACACAGCAACGTGGTGTCATCTGCAAATAATGTGATGCTAGCAGTTAAGTCCAGTTGTTTTATATCATTACTATACAATGGAAACAAGATGGGTCCTGGGATAGAACCTTGAGGGACACCTGCTTTGATTCCTCCCACACTGGAGTCTGTCGAAAGTTTCACGAATTGAACATCATCGTCGTCAAAATTTTGTTTTACTGAAAAATCACCAACTGTAAATCCTTTATTTGGTATGAAACAGAAACCAAGATTTATTGTATTGACAATTCTGATTTGTTGGAACTGTCATAAATTGATAAAAAAACGACATAAAATAAATTCGTTTTTTGCAGACAAAGTTGTGATTCTATATTATTTTATCATCATTTTTCCTCGTCTGTTCTATACGCCACTGCAAGAGACAGATTGAGGCAAAAACGTCAGTCATTTTTGAGAATTTTGGAATTACAGTTTAGTTTAATAATCGTAGCAACGTTATGACCAAAATTTATGTATATTTGTAGGCTGGAAAAAGGTAACTGTACAATTTTTGGCTCAACTGCATGACCAATGCTCAATATTAGTTTTTCTAACATAACAATGGTTATGGCGGCGGAACTATTACAGTTGTGACAAACAAGTTTACAACTTTTGTCTGGCCTATTTTTGTCACTGGATTAATATGCGAAACAAAAGGATAACTGAAAAACATCTGGGACACATACAAGTACATCGTTAGACTGATAATTAATCAATTGTTGATGAAAAATGTGAATCTTACAGATTCTAGGCACTTACATAACAGTTTCACGTTATCGTATAATAATGACGAACAACTTTTACCGATGCCGGAAACAACGTGTAACTCAAATAGTCCAATCAACTTTCACTGATAATCAAATCACTAGTAACAGTAGAGCATCTATTGTATATAGTTGACTTTTCACTAATCTTTATAATTTTGGTTATAAAAAAAAACAAAACATGTTGCAAAGAATTGTTTAGACTTTGTACAGATTAAATCGATTTGAATGCGTCACTGGCGTTCAAAAATAATGACCTCGCGGTATTTACCAACACTTTGGAACTTAGACGTTAGATCCAGGAATAAATATTTGTCTTTATTTGGCGCAGCAACTATAGGTTGAACACGTTTGAGAAAATTAATAATAAAACGATGATTTCTGTATATCACTGGAATGTACCACTGAAATAGTAGTTGTGATTATGAAAGTCCTTCGTGAAATGACAAACTTCATGCTCCGCACGATATACAAGGTGTTTCCTAACTACGGAACGAAACTTCAAAGTTCTCATGAACATATGTCCGGAGTTGCTTCGTTTCTGAGATACAGGGCGTTGAAGTTTGAAAAAAAAACGGTATTTATAAATTTGCTAGTCATTTGAAGTAATAAGGCGCTTGTTTAGCCCTAACTAGATTGAAATTATTAGATCCAGTAGAGTCTCAGTAAGCCAACAATATTTGGAAAAAAAAGAACGCCACTGACTTGTTGTTGTGTTTTTTTTATTTATATAACTTTTTCGTCGCTTATGTTTTCTTCCTATCTAGCTTCGTTTTCTAGAAAAAAATTGAAGCCACTTTGCATATCATGAATTCCTGCTTTGGCGACCAGCTGACAGTGATAGTGTTGTCATGTCAGTGAAAGTCAGAGTTGTCAATTAGCAGTGTTTCCATCATGAATAATTTTACTAACGTAGAAAGGCTGACATGCATTTTATTTATGGATTAGTGAATGGAAATGTGGAAGAAGCATGGAGAATTTACCAGGACAGATATCTTAACAGAGTGATTCGATGTGCTATAACGTTTACGAGGGCTGACTTTTATATTTCGGGATTAGAGGACAAAAACAAATATTAATCAACGAAAATCACTTTATTGTTTTTCAAAATATTCCCCATGAAGATCTATACACTTTTGCCTGCGTTTCAACCAATTGTCGAAGCACTTTTGCCAGTCTGATTGAGGTATCTCCAAAACATGCATTCTGAATGCATGTTTTGGAGACACCTCTTCAGGTGTCGAAAAACGTTGACCTCTCAGTTTTATTTTTACGTGCGGAAATAAAAAGAAGTCATTCGGTGCCAAGTCAGGACTATACGACAGATGACTCATCAAATCGATGTTTTGGGTGCTCAAAAATGCAAGTTGTTTGAGCCGATGTGCGAGAGCTCGCATTGTCGTGGTAAAGAGTGATCCGTCTTCGGCGGTTGGTTTTCCTGATTTCTTGGAAGACAACTGGCAAAAAATGGTTGTGTACCACTCAGAGTTGACTGTTCTGCGTTGTTCTAGTGGTACGGTTGCGACATGTCCAGTTTTTCCGAAAAAACAGGCGACCATTTGCTTGAAAGTGTTTCGTACGCGAACAACTTTTGTTGGATTTGGCTCCTCTTGAAATTCCCATACAGTCGACTGCTGTTTACTTTCGGGCTCATACGCGTAAATCCACGATTCATCACCTGTCAGGATGTCATAGACGTGTTTCGAAGCACCGCGATCGTATTTTTTGAGCATTTCCTTCGACCAATCGACACGAGCCTTTTTTTGAGCGATTGACAAATTGTGTGGGATCCAACGCGAACACATTTTTTTGACAGTCAGATGTTTATGCAATATTCAATCAATTCAATTCTTTATTTATCCATTCGAGCAAATACAGCTATAGGACAAGTCAAAAAACATAGAGACATACAACAAAGTACAGTGAGTAAAATGATAAAATAAAATAAATTATGTACATGCATAACAAGGATTGCAGACAAAATACAATTTACATAGGATAGTGAATTAATACATGTTTATAGGTTGTTCTTTAAAAAACTAATTCATAATAATCTTCTAGGGAGTAGGGACACAGATCAATTAGTATCTTTTTCACTTCAATAAGAAATTTCCGGTTTGAAAAGGATCTATATCTTTGTGGAAGTCGATTATAGAGTCTCAAGCCAAGTACAGTAGGTGAATTTTAGCTAATATTTAAGCGTCTGAAGGGAACGCAATATTTGCCTTTCTGTCTAGTATCATAATTGTGTAGTTCATCTACACGCATATGGTCGTCACGAGCTTTGTGTATATTCTTCAAAAGTTCTAAAATGAAAATACCACTAACTGTTAAAATCCTCATGTTTTTGAAAAGGTCACGACAACTATGGTTAAATGAGACTCTAGCAATACATCTAATAATGCGCTTTTGAGCCAGAAAAACATTTTGTGCATATGCTGATCCACCCCAGACTGCAATACCATAGTTTATTCTTGATTGAACTTCTGCAAAATAGAANTATTAATATCAACCTTACCCTCACAGTATTCAACATTTGTATATATTTGATCTAGTATACTTTCACAGGTGGAAGTGACACGTGTGGGAGTGTGATTGGTTGGGAGTAACCCATATGATTCTAAAAGATGAGTAAATTTTAGAGACTGATGTGTCGTCATAGAATTTATATTGAAGTCACCACACAAAAATACGCAACTCCTGTTCTCACATACAGTTTCCATAATCATTATGAGGTTTTCAAAAAATGTATCAAAGTGGCCTTTAGGTGACCTATAACTAGAAATAATTATGAATATTTGTATGCTGGTCCCACTAATGCCTAAGGTTGTCTCAATCTTACGATAGGTCACATGACGATCTTGCAATATCAGTTCGCGCACAGCATCAATGGTTTTCGGAACAACAACTGATTGTGGACGACCTTCACGAAATTCGTTTCGGAGTGAACTACGACCACGATTGAATTCACCATACCATCGATAAACACTGGTTCTTGATGGAGCTTCATCGTCAAAAATTAAATTAAGTTCATATATGCACTGTTGCTGAGTTAATCCACGTTGTAAAAAATAATCGCAACGAAAATGTTCACGATTTAATTCCATTTTTGGGTTGAGATGAATCTTTTAAGTTCCTGTAAACAATACAAATAGCGCGCGTATGTCGAAATGTTCTGAGTACGTTTAAGCTCAAAAATGACCAACTTTACGATAGAGCTGTCAGTTGCCGGATTGCAACACTAGGATTGCCAAATCCCGAAACATAAAAGGCAACCCTCGTAGAACATGCAAGATTATGTGAAACTGGGGGTTTTAATAAAAATGCAGGTGGTGGAAGGCCAGAAACCGTAACAACGCCTGAACTAGAAGAAGCTATACTTGATGTGATAGAAGATCTTTCCAATAGTATCAGAAAGATTGCACTGCAGCTGGAAGTTAGCCCAAAAATCGTATGGACAATTCTAAAAAGAAACCTTCTATACCGATATCACATACAGCGGATCCAATCTCTACTACCTCGGGATTTTCACCCAAGATTAATGTTTTGCAGGTGGTTTATTCATACGATGTCACACAATAATAATGAACTTTTCAGGTCAGAGTAGAGGGCTCTTTGTCTGATAGCAGAGAGATCCTCGCTGGAGTGCCACAGGGAGCCGTGCTCTCTCCCACGCTTTACTCCCTTTACACCAGCGACCTTCCGAGGCCCGAGCGTGTGAAGATATCTCTATACGCCGATGACACGGCTCTCCTCTCATCTTCCATGGGTCGGGAGCTCGGTGTCGTCTATATGCAACGTGCATTGGACGACCTCGAGTGCTGGTACCTTGACTGGAAGATCCGAGTGAACCCGGACAAGACTCAGGCAATAACCATGGGAAGACTGAAATCTTCTCCGGCCAGAAAAGTGAGAATCTCTGGAAGGGAGATTAACAGGCAAGCGCGGGTAAAGTACCTCGGCCTTCTAATAGACCGTAGGCTCACTTGGAACCCGCACATCATGTACGTTAAGTCTAAGATCGAGGGTCGCATAGCTAGTCTGTACCCTCTGATCAATAGGAAATCTAAAATGAGCACGAAAAATAAAATTACCATCTATAACACGATGTTCAAGCCTGTCATCATGTATGCTTCAGGCGTCTGGGGACAAGCGGCTCCGTCCAATATTTCCATTTTGGAAAGGTTGCAAAATAAGTTAATTAGGATGATTGTGAATGCTCCTTGGTTCGTGCGGAATGAAGTCATCCGCAGAGATTTGCCGCTGCCTTCCATTCGGCAGTCCATCCAGTCGAGGAATCAGAGAGTTTTTGAAAATACGGAAACTCATGAAAACCTGTTAGTTAGGGAAGCCACAGATTACGCTGTAGACGACCCCCCCCGATATAGAAGGCCCCGACACTCTGTCGAATGAGGCCCTCATGTCCTCCGTTAACGGATGATCAACTTTCTCATCCATCCCACCCCAGCCAGGTAGGGGTATCCCGTGAAGGGCAGCACTGATGTCTGAGGACTTCATGCCGTCATACCATCAGTCATGAACCCATCGGTCCTTCTCGAGACCAATAATCAGCCGAAAGGGTAGGGGAGCTGGATGCCAAGCCTGAACGAAACGAGGATGACTTTCCACAATAATAATTTTTTACCAAATATTTTATTTACGGAAAGCAAATTTTTCACGAGATGCTATTATGCTATTATTGAAGTATAACTCATGTGAATGATATCTGATTTTTATTCCACAACGAATGTTTGAAATACAAACTGAGTAAAGTATCTTCTGTATAATTCAGTGTTCATATAGAAGTATTTGTTTGGAAAGAATTTTTTTTTCTTTCGAATAATTCAATGTTTATATGAAAGTAGCTGTTTCAGGAGGACTTTCTTTCAGTTTGTGTCTGAAAGTTACTTCTTTGCATGATCTACACATCCATGTATAGAGTTACTTCCTTCCTTTCTTTGGAAGATTCCCTCATTCTTCTTTTTTTGTATCAAGATAGAGTAGTAGAAAGCCAAAAACTTTCTTTCCCAAAAAAGCTATTATGAACTTTCACAATGACCATTTTTGGCCCGGAAAAAATCGTCACGTTATTGGGAACACTCATTTTTAGCAACAATTTTTGCTGAACGTTTGGCTAAGAATGATTGCTGACTATTTAATTGGCCCATTTTTCTACCAGCAAGATCAACAGGTGAATCCTACACAGACTGCTTGAGGGATTATTTACCCATTTTGTTAGAAGTGCCGGTACTTGTAAGAGGCAACATGTGGTTCATGCACGACGGGGCTCCAGCTCATTTTAGCGTTCTTGCTCGTCAGCATCTCTACGTCACCTAAATCGCTGGATTGGACGTGCAGGACCTCAAAATTGGCCAGCTCGCAGTCCTGATATGAATCCTCTAGATTTCTATTTGTGGGGTCATCTGAAGGCTATTGTTTATAAAACTTCTGTACTACATGTGAATGACATGAATAACCGAATAATTGACAATTGCAATGTCATGAGGAATACTTCGGGTATTTTTGAACGTGTCCGACTGTCAATGACAAATCGATTGCAGTCGTGTATTTTATCAGAAGGTGGACTTTTTCGCATTTACTTTAAGGTCAAAATTGTTCATTATTTACTTTTGGTTTTAATTATATTGTGGTAAATTAATGAATTAACTGTCTTGAACAAATTTATTTCCAACAATATTTCAATAATCACAAACTAATTTATTTATTACAACACTTAGCAACTAACGCTTAATTTATTTCCACTATTTGAATTTCTTGTTTAGCCGCTCGATTCACTTTCTGAACTGCCCAAGATTTCGAAGAGTCCAAAAACCAAATATTTACCCATATTTTTCAACCAACTTTCAGGTTCTAGAGATGCGGCAAAACCCACGAAGGATATAATGAAGCTGGACTTCAGTGGATACATTGGTTCACTTCACAATGTCACTTTCGTTGACAATAATGGCAGACAAATACCAAATGGGTTATTTAATGTAATGCGAGACTTTTTGGTCATGGACAATGCTTATTCAAACAACAGTAAAGCGATTGATGTTGAAGTAATCGATATTCCTCGACAGCCATTCCACGTATTGATCCAAGGAAAAGATGCCCAAGGTGAGACATTATCTACTTGTCAGCCACAATAAACCCTTGCGGGTTGCGGTGGAGGGTCGAATAGACCCACTAACTTGAGACCTAACCTTTCATAGTGAAAGTCACAGTAAACTGTATTATAGTAACAATTATTATTGTGAATTGTAACTAAAAATATTTTTTTCAGGTAACCACTTTTCGCGAGTGACATATCTTGATAATTACACATCCAGCAACATTTTTCCACAGCCAATTTTGAGTATCGAAGTAGGTGAAGGCTCTGACCTGATAACCTCAGCAGGAAAATCATCTGTGATAACATTTGAGGTCACAAATTATAGAAATACAGCGGCTGATGTGCGGTTTTACTGTACTGATGAAAAATCCATATTGGGAAGCATGCAACCATACAGGTAATGTACCTGATTCTGTCAATGAAGGAAAAACCCGGTCGTTTCAAAATTCTCACAGTCGCATCTGAAGTTTTTATTCATACAGTAGCGTGACTGAACCAATCCAATATTTAAATTGATTAGGACCCAAAATCTTGAGGATTTGCTTTTATTCAAGATGGCCCCCAAAGGTGTTAAATCAGGCAATTGTGGTGGCCATTCATACCATGAAATATGTCTGTTTGAAGGTGATTGACAATGTTTCATGTTGAATTTCACTAGTTCGGATTTCCATTGTCTACTATATAAAATGATTTGAAATCCCTGAAAGGAATGACT